TGTGACAATATTAAGTACACATGAAGAATTTCTGGCCACATACTGAATTATAATAGCTGACGGCTGTCTCAAGGTAAAGTACTTGTATGACTGAACTGAGGGCTTACACTAGCCTCTTTTTTTCATGAAACACCATTTTTGGGGCGCCTGGGTGGCTCAGTCATTAGGCATCTGCCTTTGGCTAGGGCCATGATCCCAGGGTCTTGGGATCAAGCCCCGCATCGGGCTCCCTGCTCAGTGGGAAGCCTGCTTCTCCCTCTGCCACTCGCCCTGCTTGTGTTCCTGCTCTTGCTATTTCTGTCAAATAAATAAATAAAATCTTAAAAAAAAAAAAAATTTTTTTTACTTGAAAGAATGACTACGGTTATTCAAACTTACATATTTTGGCAGAGGTTCTCTCAGAGATGAACAAAATCTGCTTGTCACTTCTAGGAAACAACTGGCAGTCATATTTCTCGCCAACGATAAAATTTGAGCTTTCAAGCAAAAATCAGATTTCTGGAAAACTCATATCCACCATCAATCAGGTCATGACCTGGACAGCTTCCCAATAATTTGTTTCTGACAGGATAAGTGGTGATATGAACAAATGTGATTTTTTAGTAACATACGAAATGTGTCAACATTTGGAAGATCTGCATAACTGAACCAATACTTAAAAAGGACCACGGCATGATGTTACAAATTCAGGCATAGTTATGTAAGATCCATTCAAAGTTCAGACCAAGGGATTTTAATAGAACATTATGGAAAAAGTCCATTGATATGATCTCAGATTCCACATTGCAAATAACTAAAAAACTAACACATGTTGAGCTGTGATGTAATACCAAACAAGAAAATCCATTACTATCTGAAAAGACTATTAAAATGCCTCCCTCCCTTTTCCAGCCATTAGCTATGTAAGGCTGGATTTCTCCTTCTATATACTTCAAACCAAAAAACATATTGCCAACACTGACTAAATGCAGGAGTAGATAGAAGAATCCAGATGTTTCTATTAAACCAGACATTAGAGAAAAATGTAAACCAAAACCACTCTTCTCATTGCCTTATTCGTTTTGAAAAATACTTATTTTTCAATAAAAAAGCTTATATTAACATAGTACTGTTATATTTCAGGGAATTAATAAAATTTATATATATCTTTTTAATTTATAATACAGTAACTACAGACATAATCCACAAAAGCTCTTTGGGGTGCTCAATAATTCTTAAGAATTTAAAGGGGTCCTAAAACCAAAAGTTTGAAAACAACAGATTTAAAGAACTGAGTATTAATATCAGATCCCTGCAAATGAAGAACAGTAAGTACATAAAATCATTAATTTAAAAAAACTTTCCGAGAAAAATTACATGAAAGCTGAAAAGGAATACAATGTCAAATCAAAACTAACCTCACTCACTAACACCAATAAAGAAGAAAACAAAAGAATGCATAGATGAAAGTGATTTTGTATGTCCTGGAAACATCATACAATATCTTGATCAGATAAACTCATATATACCTATTAATAGTTTGATAGATATTTTTGATAGCAGGACATGACAGTCAAAGAAACACGCAATCACAAACTCAAAAACAGGTGATTAAAATAGCGGTCACCACCACCATGAGGGAGACAATCCAAGGTTCTGTCAGAAGGGACAAACAAGGATACTTCAGCACCTCTCCAGCAGCATCACAGGGCACCCAGCTCAGGGTCTAGCTGTTCTATTTAAAACTAAATTACATGCTTCCAAGGCAGGATAGTGAGACTAAGCTCTCATTTAGCCCCAAAGGAGCAAATGGGTCACAGTGGAATTATTCTACAGTAATAATGCTCCATCAGGCTAAAGTCCTTCTTCAGCTTACTAGATCCCTTGGAAAAGTGAGGAAAAGCAGTAGCAGTAATATTTACATGCCAGGCACTGTGGACTAAGAACTTTATGTGTATTAACTCATTTAATATTCAAGATCTTAAGGGTATAACCGTTATTACCCCCATTTTTGGAATTGAGAAAACTGAAGCACAAAGAGGATAAATAACTTTCCTCAAGCAAAGCCAGGATTAGAACCCAGTCTGACTGGCTATGAAGCCCAACTCCCTAGCCACTACATTATAGTACAGAGGCACAGTAACCAAGAATAAAATATAAAATTTAAAGTCCCATGTCCGCTCTAAACAACTTCTGTCATTCACATCAAGACCCACTGCCTAAGGGAGGCTCCCAACTTGGAGAAAGCCCTCTGACAGTTTCATCCATTACTACTCAAACACTATTCAACTTCCAGGTACTGAGCGACCTTAAGCAGGAGTACATTTTGGAAGGTGAATACTGTGGAGATTTATTGAAAACTCCAAAATGTAGAATCTAATACAAATTAGGTAATTTCAAAAGTCTTAGATCTCTTTTCCCTCTACTGTTGCGGATAAAAAACCATTATTATATAGGAGTCTAGCTAAACTGTTCCAAAGAGAATAATAATGCCTCAATTCAAGTCAACACGAAAAGCTTTATAAAAATTGCTTCTACAAAAGCTTAAATTACATTAAAACACTTAAATATTTTGCAGTGTTGGCTAATAACAAGAGGAACTCTAAATCTATCCCCTTCATTTCAGAGTTCTAAGTGAGACTGCAGTTCTAAGTAAGTGTGGAAGCAATTAATTCAAGGCAGAGTTTTGAGGTCATTAAAAATGAATCTTTAACTTCATTGTAGAACCTAACTCAAGCGAGGTGTAATGGGAAACTAAAGAAGTCATATTACAACAAGAAAATAAGGAGTAGATAAGACATGGCTATCTCACAGCAATTTCAGGACTAATGACAGCAATTATAGGAAATGCTTATAGATCTCCCAGGGTTTCGTTTGGTTTTGATTAGTATTTGGCACGTTTGAAATAGGTACCATTTAAAGTGCCTTAAATAAACTACTACTTTTTTAGTCTACTGAACTGAAAACATTCCACCACACTATTACGAAAATAACTTTCTAGTTTTCTCAGGAAAAAAAGACAATTTATAAGAAGAACTCAGAGGTTACTAAAGAAAGTGGTAACTCGATTTACATAAAGATTACAACACAGACATAAAAGGTAAGTGAAAATGAGTGATCAAGAAGACTGTTCGTGTCCTTTCTCACTGCAAATTGTCATGCATTATAATTAAACACTGCTACAATTTTCAACACCTGAAGAAAAACAAAACACCCACAAGGAATTAACATTGCCACAAAAAAAAAAAAAAATCCGCTAAGTGTTACAATGCATTAGGTCATCAGCAGCGCTGGACCTTCAAGCACTGAACTGAGCAAGCTATATTAAAACAAGAAATGGCAAGCTGTATTAAAACAAGAAATGGCCTTTAAATTATCAACATTCACATCGATTATGCTAAGATGTATAAAAACTCCATTCTATAATGGGTAAATGCCCAGGAAACCAACCGATTCAAAACTGCACTGGTACTAGTAAGAGGCTTAACGGGTACAAGCGGGAAACAACAACCGTAGAGATAAGCATGCCTTGGCGCTGGGGTTGCAGGAGTCCTTGAATACTAATTAAGAGCCCGCAACTCAGGAAGGAAGGCTCTAAGGAAACTCTGCACTGTCATCTAGGGAGATCTGATTCAGGTTCAAATCAAATCCAAAAGGCGACAAGTTGTAAACAGAGAACACACTTCAGGCCAAACCACCCCCTGAAAAGAAGCAAATCTAGCCACCGCCGCTATCACACCACACCAACCCCACTGCAAAGCCAGGCACACCCAGGGGGTGGGTGCCGGGATGGGTGGGGAGGCGGGGCGCGCGCCCTCCCCCGGCCCGCCGCCCCTCGGCTCTGCTCCGCGCTGCACCGCGGTGACCGGCGCTCCCAGCCCCAGAGAAAGGGCAGGGCACAGGGGCCGCCTCTGCCCGAAAAATGCGTCGAGGACCCTCTGCCGGGGATTGAGGCGGGGGCCACAGAGTGGCCGCGGGTGGGGGCAAGGTGGAGCGTTTTCCAGAAACCAGCCAAAGCCCCAAAACCATCAGGGGTTTCCCTCCAGCTCCGGTCCACTCCCCCCGAGAGACACGCGTTACACAACCTATCAGGTGAGGGGCGGCGGGGTCCCAGGACGCAGACCGCGGCGGGCCCAGGGTCGCTCCTTCCCGCTTCTCCCGCCACCGGGAAGCCGCGGCCGGGGGAGAGCGGAGAGGCAGCGGGCGGGCGGGAAAGCCGCAGCGGAGGGCCGGCTGGCCCGGACGGCGGCGGGGCGCTCACCGGCTCAGGACGGGGCGCTGGCAGGGACTGGGCAGAGCCGCAGCACCCGGCTTGGCGTCGGCAGCACCAGAGGCTGCTCTCTGGAAGAACGGCGGACTCCTCGCCGCCCGCCGCCCGGTGTTTTCATACAAACCCCGGTGGCAGGCGAGGCGAAGGCGGCGGCGGCGGCGGAACCTGTCCGCATCCCGGGCAACGTCAGCGCGGCGCCCCGCCCACAGCACGCCCGGGGCCAGCGGGCTAGCGCGCGCCGGGCAGCAGGGAGGGCGGAGCGCGCGTGCGCGCGGGCCGTGTGGGCACGCGCTGGGCGGAGGGCGGAGGGCGGGGCACGCCCGGGCCTGAGCGAGGATGGGACTCGGGGAGCGCGCGTGGGCAAGGAGAGAGCGTACGCAGGAAGGAGGGCGGGGTGCGCGCGCCGGCGTTAGGTACTGTGGGGCGGGGAAGGCGCGGCCGAGGCCGGGGGAGGAGGATTGCACGCGCCGCGGGCTCTGTGCCTGCAGCGGGCCTCCAACCGAATGGAACCGGTTCGCGGGCGGCTCCCCACTCTCTGCGATTCACCTTCCTGTACGGTCCCAATTAGAGCCTCCCTCCTTTTCCCGGAACTAAGCCGGCGCCCACCCCCACTACCATCAATTACCCCCCCCCCCCCGCCCCGCTTAGGAGGCTGTTAGCTGCACTGGAGGAGCGGTTCCTAATTCCTCCACGTGGCACCAGGGTCGCAGCAGTCCCTGGGGACCGCGGTAAAACTCAGCCTTTTCCTGACCTCAGAAGAGTCCATAAGAAGAAACTGGAAGACAAGCAGTTACCACAGCTGGGCTTCCAGAACAAGGAAATTGCACCTTATGGCCAAACCTCAATAAATTAGATGCCTAGAGCTGCGGAGAAAAAAAATAGCATGCTGATTTATTTTTTGCTTTGTCGTAATGTGCCTACATACAGTCACGAAAATGGTAATGTTAAATTGGCCACTGAAGGCAAAGACTGTTTTTTTAATCAGAGCCTAAGTAATGTGTCAGAGAGATTGAATACCGATACACCCCCTTCTGTTTTGACTGCACATAAAGACACTATAATAGATTCTTAATAAATACTCGACATTTACTTTTTTCCAAGATCATGGATCATGTTTGCTGCTGTTTATACTAGCTGCTACGGAATGTGAAATTATTACAACCAGATAAAGAAATTGAGAGCTGTGAGATTTTTGTTTTGTTTTCTTTCATCATGTTTAAACGAAATTAAACAGCTGTGAAGGCAGTTCACAGGGTAGTCTGGTGCACCACACATGCTTCTTGCAGTTTGCCCTTGGCAGATATCTTGACTAAGATAAACAAGGGACTGCCATTTCATAAATGCCATAATTTCCCTGGCTGTGAGCACCAAAAGGTAGATTACAGTATTTTAAGTAATTTTAAAACAAGGACCATCCCAAAGCACCTAGTCTGAAAAGCATATCTGACAACACCTAATTACCTAAGAATATTTAACATTTTACAGAAATTAAATACATGTAATATACATAAAGCTTTGAGAGTATCCTCCTTAATGAATCAACCTGCAATATATAAAGATATAGACATAAATGTGAATGTGTGTGTATATAGAATTTGAATTCCACTTTAGCAAAGCATTGTTAGTGTGGTTTGATGGCCAGGACACAGACCTAGTAGATTAATCCACACAACTAGGGAAAAAGCAGAGCCACTCCCTGTCTGTCACTCTTTTCCACTATTTTATACAGTTCCCTCAACACACCTTGTTATGACATATAAAACTAAATATAAATAATTGTGTGATGTAGCTTGGAGTCTCATCATATAATAATATTCATTTAACTCCAATTCCTCAAATCAGTCTAGCCAGTGCCTTGTAGGAATTCAATAAATGTTTGCTTTTTTTAACTCTGGAATAGTCAGACAAAGAAAGATGAACAGTGGAGCCAGCTATCTTTTTCTCCTCTTTTGCTGGTTTCCCTGCCTCCATCCAACTCTTGATTTCGGTTCAGGTCATGATCTCTGGGTTGTTAGGGTGAGCCCCGCATCAGACACTGCACTGGGCATGGCGCCTACTTAAGATTCTCTCTCTCCCTCTCCTTCTGCTCCTCTCCCCACCACTCTCCCTCTCAAAAAAAAAAAAAAAAGTAACCATACAAAATGCAACAACATTGTAACAAAATTATATAGCCATAAGGTTTAGAACAGCCATGGCCCCTCTCAAAGGTCTAAGCCATTTCCATCTTGAACCATAAATATTAAGAGCACAATCTCGATCATGAAGTTTCTGAAACATACCAAATCCTCTGAAGTTCTAGGATTATTATAACTATTCAACATCATCTAACAACCATCAGTTTATTGAGCACCTCATGTGCCAGACCAACCCTGAAATCTTCTGAGAAGGTAAGCAAACGATAGCACTCAACAAAATACCTAACAGCTGCCCTGTGTGAAATTGGAAGGCTTGATATATCCATAGATGATAGACAAAGAAGATGTGGTATAAAGAAGATGTGAGGGGCAGGGCACCAGGGTGGTTCAGTTGGTTAAGTGTCTGCCTTCGGCTCAGGTCATGATCCCAGGGTCCTGGGATTGAGCCCCACATTGGCTCTCTGCTCAGCGGGAAGCCTGCTTCTCCCTCTCCCTCTGCTCCCCCTGCTTGTGCGCTCTGTCTCTCTCTTTGTCAAATAAAAAATAATAATAATAAATATATTTTTAAAAAAAAAGAAGATGTGAGGGGCACCTGGGTGGCTCAGTTGGTTAAGCATCTGACTCTTGGTTGTGGCTCATGTCACGATCTCAGTGTTGTGGGGTGGGACTGAGTCCTGCGTTGGGCTCCACGCTCAGTGGAGTCTGCTTAAGATTCTCTCTCCTCCCTCTGCCCCCTTCTCTCTCTCTCTAAAATAAATAAATAAACCTTAAAAAAAGTGTGATAGATAGATGATGGAATATTATTCAGCCATTAAAAAAATAAATGAAATCTTGCTACTTAAAACAACATGGATGGACCTAGGGGGTATTATGCTAAGACAAATACCATATAATATCACTTATATGTGGAATCTAAAAAACAAAACAAATGAACAAACAACAATAATTTTTAAAAAGATTCTTAAATACAGAGAAGAAACTGGTGGTTGCCCGAGGGAAGGTAGGTGGGTGGAGGAGGATGAGCAAAATAGGTGAAGGATATTAAGAGGTACAAACTTCCAGTTACAAAATAAATAAGTCACAGGGATGAAAAATACAACATACAGAACATAGTCAATAATACTGTAATAACTTTATATGGGGACAGATGGTAACTACACTTATCATGATTGCCAAATCACCATGTTGTACACCTGAAACTAAAATAACACTTATGTAAACTATACTTCAACATACATACATACATAAATATCCACATCTGTAAACCACTACACCCTCACTTTCTTTATTTGTGAAATGGAACTTATATATTCTTGCCAAATTCAAAGCCTTTATTTTTCTTTAAGATTTATTTATTTATTTGAGAGAGAGAGTGAGTGACAGAGAAGGAGCATGGGGGAGAGACAGAGGGAGAGGGAGAAGCAGAGTCTCTGATGAGCAGGGATCTCGACTCTGGGCTTGATCCCCAAACTCTGGGATCATGACCTGAGCTGAAGTAGACACTTAAACAACTGAGTCACTCAGGCACCCCGCCAAATTAAAATTTTTAGATATGCAATACCCTTTAGCCTAATTACAGGAATTTATCCTAAGGAAATAACCAGGAAAAGGTATAGGGATTTAGCTATAAGGATGTTTATCCCAGAGTGGTATTATAAATCATCTTAAATGCTCAACAGAAGGCACCGGATTAAACAAATTATTGTATATCCATGCATTAGATCACTAGGAAGCCATTAAAAATGATGTGGTAGAGGAGTGCCTGGGTGGCACAGTTGGTTAAGGGACCAACTCTTGGTTTTGGCTCAGGTTGTGATCTCAGGGTCGCTGAGATCAAGCCCCGTATAGGGCTCCACACTCAGCATGGAGTTGGCTTGAGATTCTCTCTCCCTCTCCCTCTGGCCCTCCCACTATGTGCTCTCTCTTTCTCTCTCTCTCAAATAAACAAATAAATCTTAAAAAAAGAAAAAAAAGATGATGTAGTAGAGCAGGAGTTCTCCGCCTTGATGCAACCTAGTTTAATTCATGAACATACATGGATTTACCTTGAGTTTGGAAGTAGGCCCCTCTGAGTGTTGAGTTGCTGAGAATTAAAGAATTTTTGAGGGGTGCCTGGGTGGCTCAGTTGGTTAAGTGTCTGCCTTCCAGCTCAGGTCATGATCTCAGGGTCCTGGGATCAGGCCCCACATCGGGCTCCCTGCTTAGTGGAGAGTCTACTTCTCCCTCTCCCTCTGCCTGCTGCTCTCCTTGCTTTTGCTTTTTCTCTCTCTCTGTCTCTGTCAAATAAATAAATAAAATCTTTTTTTTTTTTTAATTTCTAGATATGAAGGAGAAGCCAGATTACAATCCAGAAGCATTTCTACATAAGCATTTCTGGTAAATTTCCTGAACAGATCTCATTTAAAAAGGAGCTGAATTGAATAGGTCATATGAGGCCATAAAAAAAACCTCAATAAATTTGAGAAGATTGACTCTTTGAGGAAGAGGCAGTTGCAGCTACAGTGGATCTCTGGGCATCTGGCTCCTGCTCCTGACTCCCCACTAGGAAGATACCCATGGAACCAGAGGTGGTGATTCACTAAATTAGAATTACTCAAACCAGCTGCAGCATAAAATCTCTGGAGAAGGTATGTGCTGACTTGCTCAGAGGCACAAAGAAAAAGAAACTCAAAGTGGGAGGACCAGTTCAGATACCGACAAAGACTCAAATCACTACAAGAAAAACTCCTTGTGGTGAAGGTTTGAAGACTTGGGATGGTTTTCAGATAAGGATCCACAAGAGACTCACTGATTTGCACAATGATATGAAACTAGAAATAAATCAAGAAAAAAATGGTTAAAAATACAAGCACATAGAGACTAAAAAACATGACAATAAACAACCAATGGATCAACAACTCAAAGAAGAAATTTTAAAAGTACATGGAGACAAGTGAAAATGAAAACACAACAGTCCAAAATCTTTAGGACACAGCAAAAGCAGTTCTAAGAGGGAAGTATATAGTGATATAGGCCTATGTCAAAAAAACAAGAAAAAACTCAAATAAGCAATCTAACCTTACACCTAAGGGAACTAGAAAAAGAGAACAAAGCCCAAGGTGAGTAGAAGAGAGGAAATAATAAAGATCAGAGCAGAAATAAATATCATAGAGACTGAAAAAACAATAGAGAAAATCAATGAAACCAAGAGCTGGTCTTTGAAAAGATAAACAAAATTGACAAACCCTTAGTCAGACTCATTAAGGCAAAAACAAAAAGGACCCAAATAAATATAATCAGAAACAAGAGAGGAGAAGTAGCAACTAACCCCACAGAAATACAAAGGATTATAAGAAAATACCTTAGGGCTCCTGGGTGGCTCAGTTGGTTAGGCGACTGCCTTCAGCTCAGGTCATGATCCTGGAGTCCCAGGATCGAGTCCCGCATCGGGCTTCCTGCTTGGCGGGGAGTCTGCTTCTCCCTCTGACCCTCCCCCATCTTGTGCTCTCTCTCCCTCTCAAATAAATAAATATAATCTTTTAAAAAAAAGAAAGAAAATACCTTAAAAAATTATATGCCAACAAACCAGACAACCTAGAAGAGATGGACAAATTCCTACACACATATAACCTCCCAAAATTGAATCAGGTAGCA